TAGCAAAAATCGAATAATTGATTCAATTGGGAACTTAAAAAAAAAAAAAAAAAAATTTTGAAAATTTGAAAAAATGGATCGGCGGGTTATGCAAAACGAAAAATTAACTTTGCGTGGCCTTACACAAGTCTTCAACATTCTGAGCCTCAAATCTCGATATTATTCTCGGCCCAAACCGTAAATGGTCACAGATAGCATTCCTTTTCTCGTACCCCTCTCCTTTATTACTTCAATTCAGGTGTTATCATTCCAGGATGTTTATTCAGTCCATTTTCAACATTTTCATCAATGGGTATTTCGCCGACACGTTCGATCTTTCGGGCTAGTTGAACGCACAACACAGGTAAAATTTCAATTCGTGTGATACGTTTCTATTATCTTTTTTTTTTTTTTTATCAATCATCACCCTTTCTATATTCTCCATTCTTACATTCTTCTTTATCATTGTTTATTTAACATACCACTACTATATTATCATCGTTATTGTTCTCAACATATTATCTTTGCCTATTCCCGATTCGTCCCACAAAATCTATTTTCGCCAACGATTTTCCGCCAATTTCATGAACATTCCTATTCTCTTTCAATGCACCATAATCAACTTCACTTTCATTACGACAATAATGATCATCTTCAACCTGTAAAATTCATGAATGCTTCACTTGACTCTTAATTCTACTTGGATAACAGTTACAAAACGCATTGATTACATTAACACGGACTATATCAGTAGGTTTTTGACACTGAATAAATGCTTTCATGTTCATTCCTTTTAGGACCAACACCATTTCCCTTATTCCATCTTCTCCAGCTTTGGCTTCGATTAATCTCATAAACTGTGTATTCTTAACAAGTTCCTGATGCTCACGTTTCATTTGATCCGGAAAAAAGAGCCAAGTGTTCTCGACATCTACAACAGAGGCCTATAACGTCGTCGTTCTATTTAATATTTTCTTAAACCCTTCACAATCTCAACGACCAACTCTTCACAGGTTTCAAGTTTTTCAGTAGTAGAATCTTCGTCTTACCCAGGTCCTTCTTGTCGTATACGTTTCTAGTATACGGTAGTTTTGGTCTAATTTCACTTAGGGATTCACCCGCTTAACTTCTCTCTTTCGGCTGGCGTGTCGTTCAGGTACTACCATTACTACGACGACTACGACATAGCGATAACTACAACGATAGTACGCACGATTATTCACTTACTAAAAATCTCCGTCGTAACTCTCCTAAAGTCGTTACGCTAATATAGATAATCAAATTAAATGCGTCCTATATAGTGTTAGATTTTAATTTCATGCATCACGCGTCGTTATGTCGTCGATCACAGTTTATTCAATTTCATGTTACACTAAATTTTGAATTAATGGGCAAATTGCGTAACGGTATATTTTGTTCCAATCATAGAACTTTCTGAGAATCACACCGTCAAAATTATTATGTAAAAATAATAATGTAAAAATGTAACATGAATTTCTATCATAAGCATGACATAATGCCAGGAACTGTTAAGCCAAGTTTGACATGTGTTTAATTAATGTTTAGATGAGAATCTGTAAGTTATGCCAAAGATCGAGAATTTGTTTTCTCTGCATTTTTGTGTATCCCAAAATTGATTTATACATCAATTTTTTTTTTTATAAATTTTTTTTTCCTTTTTACTTATTTTTAATAAAAGTTTGCCAAATGATTGGTTAGTCAAGTTAAGGTAAATAGTCGTGACAGAAATTTTGTCTTACATGGAAATCAAATTACTGTCAGATTCAATAATAATGAGAATGTTATCGTTATGTTACGCCAGATCTTGTCTAAATTCATGTGGCAGCAAATTTTTTCCCGTAGATCTTGTATGATCGAACGTAACATAAAAAACTTTCGTGGCACCAGTAATAGCAAATATGGAAAGAGTACAAATATTCATACATTGTCAAAATTTGTCAAATATTAATAGATGACGATGTCACGGGAATTTCCGAAAATAAAACATAACTACGTCATAAACTTCATAATTAAAGACTCAAGACTCTCCAAAGATCAAGGCTTTGAAACCTTCATTTATGATGCATAAGGCTTCTCAACTGAAACACACGCGAAGCCAAAACATTCTAAATGAAAGTTACGTGTAATAATACAGTAATATGATCCAAGCCAAGCATTCTTTTAATCATGCTTACGAAAAAACCAAATTATTTTGATCAAAACATAGCATGGCAGTGTTGGTCTTGGACATATGTCCAGAAATTTTGGCATAAATAATTTAGTTTATAACTAATTTTCACCTGTGGTTATGCACCTGGTATCATAAAATTTTATTAAATTTAAATACCTTTAAGGTTAGAGGTTAAGGTTAGCCTTAGGTTAGGGTAAGAAGGCTTGTTTACAGGTAAAATTTGATGCTGAAAGCTTTTGCTTAAAAGTCGAAGCATAATTTTCATAATAAAATTTTGAGTTATTAAAGTTTTTGACCTTTTTCTTAATTCTTCGTTTTGTTTTAGTTACACAAGATCTGGCGACCTTATCGGCTCTACATATAACTGGACATCACCTGGGCAAGTTAGCAATAGTCAATATTTTATATGCCCGATTGTTCTATTTTATATACCCAATAGTTCAATAAACGTAATTTTATATGACCAATCGCGCCTATATGCCCGGGTTTGGTTCAAAATCTCGAAAACATAATCTCGAAGAACGAAATCCCGAAAAAAAATTGACCGGAATTAAGCTAATGCTAACCTAATTCGGGCTAACTTTTCGGAATTCTGATCTTTCGGGATTTTGTTCGTCGGGATTTTGTCCGTCTCCCATATGCCCACATACGTACAAACGTAAGTCAGATGTTGTCTTTAAGAGTTTAAGCTAAATCATTAGTTTAAATTACAGTATAAATATATTTTGAATAATTGATATAGATCAGCCAATTATAATGCATCCACGAGCCTAATAATAATAATCAAATAGTGCATTTATCTTCTAAGCCTGTTAGTTTCAAGGTTATTTTAACAATAACTTTAATGTGTGTTTAAATCTGATGACACTTTTATTGTCATTTTTATTACAGTAAATTTCACGAAAAGCCATCACTTTTTAATTATAAAAATTTTTAAATTGATCTAACTTTTTAAAAACAAAAGATATTTAAAAAATTTCTTAATAATTTGATAGATTTTTGTTTAAACTATTAAACTATCAAAAATTTTTTTAAACATCTCTTGTTTTTAAAAAGTTATATTAATTTAAATTTGAATTTATTTAAAATTAACCGGTGGTAAAATTCACCGGCCTAAGAATTTAGGGTTAGGGTGCATTTTTAGGGGGGTTTTTTTTTTATATATAATATAATGTAGAGTAGATATATAAGGTCCCGATTTAAGTTCTCGTGAGATTTTCAGGGGTCCTGAACATTTTTACTTAACCTACCCGACCCCTGTTTCATAGTGCAGTTTTCGAGATATAGCACCCCCGGTGAATTTTCACCTCCGGTGAGCGTTAAAATACTCCTTTAATTTTATATATGATTTAAAAATTTGGCATTTATATATAAAAAAACAAAACAAAATTTGAGTTTATTAACAAAATTTTAAATTTTATTAATAAAATTTAAAGTTTTGCTGCATTTTAATTGGATAATTAGGTTACACTGCTTTTTTTCATCCTTGGCTGTGCCTATGCATTCTCCATAACAGTATCCAACTCTAAATTGTCCTTTCGAATTGCCACCTTCAGCAGATTTTAAATACCACTCAAATGCTTTTTTTTCATTCTTGGATGTGCCTATGCCTTCGTCATAGCAGAATCCAACATTAAATTGTCCATTCGAATTGCCACCTTCAGCAGATTTCAAATACCACTCAAATGCTTTTTTTTCATCCTTGGCTGTGCCTATGCCATTGCCATAGCAGAATCCAACATTAGATTGTCCATTCGAATTGCCACCTTCAGCAGATTTCAAATACCACTCAAATGCTTTTTTTTCATCCTTGGCTGTACCTATGCCTTCGTTATAGTAGAATCCAACATTAAATTGTCCCTTTGAATCGCCACT